AGAGGCTATCAAACATAGCCTAAATATAAATTCTGCCCACCTGCCTGGCTAAGCAGATTTTCATATGATGGAAGCCTCAAGTCATCTTTGATGTTACCAGTTTGAGCTAGAAGCTAACCTACGAATGAAAAAATCTGCTTGTTCAATCTTTTCATTGAAAAATAATAATTTCTTTGAGCAGCCTCCGTGTTGAGGGTTGAAACTTATTATATATCTATTCTGGAAAAAGGCATCATGAAAATTTTAACTGATCTACTTCAATAGAAGTATAACTGTGGCTCTAAAATAAATTTCAAACCTTAAGATACTCAATTCAATGCAGGGCAGAGAACGATTATTCTTTGAACCAAAAAAAAGAAAGAAATATTTTAGATATTTAGATTCACTCTAAGGTCCAAAGTTCATTATGTAGCCCCAGTCCTGTACGAGATGAAAAATGCAAAAATTCAGATGTGATTAACAAAGCGTCAATTTGTAAAATCAGATAGAAATAGAATTGAGTGAATGATTTGCATTCCGTTGAAACATACTACGTTAACGACTTGTCAAGAAGGTGCATACAGTCATAAAATTAATGCTTTGAAGTAATGACACATAATCAGTTATCGTGGTGACTTTACACATAAAATTATCGATAGACGGTAATAGATGCACTTAACACAAATTATATGAAAAGTGGAAGATAAATATAACTTGGAATCAGTTGGGAGTAGTATACGAAATTTTGCCAACCGTTTAGAATCATCCAGAAATTAAACACAAATAGCTCAAGAAAAATTTAAAGTTATCAGAACTTAGATGCACAGCGACCTTTCTTCCTGGCGGTCACATTCACTACTAATGGATAATAGAAACGACCCAGTGGTTGGTGGACGGTGTGGTGGATATGATCACAATCGAAGGACATGCAATAGCTTGGTTTCGTTAAGCAAAGGCCAAGGAAAAGATAAATAGAGTAAAGAGAGACAAATCAATAAATAGCAAAACAAATTATGAAATAACTTGAACATAGTGCTGAAAATATATTTGTTCGATTCATTGAATAATTGATGTTTCAGTTTGATATTAGATGATTGATATTTCAGTTTAATATTAGATGACTCATGTTTCAATTTGTTGCTCATGTTGCTGTCGATTACATGGAATGATGTTGTGACCTGATATATTCAATAATTTACATTTATGTGACAGCATGATCTCTAAGTTGTGACGGGGTCAATCAAATGTTATATTAGATTGGTGAGCTGTGACGCATGGCTTGTGAACGGTGACTTGTGGCATGTGACCTTGGGGCTATAACCAAATATATGCCTCATTGTGTCATGTTATCAATGAAGAATAGGATGAGTCACCTGTGACATATGACATGTAACCTGTCACTTGTGACTTGGAAGCAACGATGTGGGAGCTATAACTAGATATATGCCCAGTTCTTTCCTACTATCAATGCAAAATGTGCCTATAACATGTGATATGACATGTGACCTGAGAGTACTGATCTGGGAGTTGTAATTAGATATATGTCTAGTTGTAACCTGTCATCAATACAGAATGTAACCAATGCACAATGAGATATGTGGCATGTGACTTGTGGCAGATAACATTTTTCAGGATATTTTTGTAACGGGAACAAATCTCATATGACCTGCTTAAAAGATAATGACCTTGCATATTCAAAATTTTACAAGCAGTATGAACAAACTAAATGAAGTGTATTGCTCAAACGAAAATAAATTCATATTCATTCACATTATATGTTTCGTCCACAAATAAGCTGATGTTCAATAAGATTAACCAAGGAAAAGATAGTACATCAACTATCTATATGTCAAACTAATAATGTAAAAAAAAAATTAATAAATCAATCATTTGATTTCCTTCTTTTTTTTCATCACTTTGTGGCCTGCCTGATTTGTCGATATTTAAATAGCATAGAAGCTATGTTCATCATAGCTCTACTAACATCAAATGACATTTGCATGTTTGCAAGATCGTTGTGAAGCAAGTATTCCGCGTATTTAATCATGAAGATGCTACAATAATGGTTGAAGAAAGAAAACAATATGTTTGGTATGAACAGAACATTAAATCATGCATTTGCTATTGACAAGTCAGGTAAGAAACAAACTCATTCTGCTGATGGGGAATGTCACTAACAATGTTTATCTGCAACTC